TTGTGTGATCGTGATCATTTTTTTAAAAATTAACGAATTTCTAATCAATGATGGTAGAATCGCTCAAGAAATATAATCGAAAAAGAAATGAGCATGAGTTGTGACCTGGAAAGAAAAGAAGATTCCCAGACACGAAAATTATTTTCTGTAGCAACATGAGGTGAAATTGAAGGCTTGGTTAGTATAATTCCGAAATCAATGGTGGCACCTTCGGATTACAAAACACAAAATTTCCAATTTCCGAAAGAAAATTTGTTCAGAATTCAACCCATGTATGGCCTACATAAGAATATAGTTAGCACTCTCATTTCTTATCCTGGACTACAAAACAATTAGTTTCTTTGCTGTGGAGATGGCATTATTGCCAGATCAACATGTATTATTCTAAAACTGCAGGATCTTTAAAGAGCTAAAATATGAGGAACATGCATGTACTGCAGCAAATTACTGCATATTTTTTTTTTTTTATTTTGCACTGACATGTATTTTAACATTTTATACCTGTTTTACACAACTTGCAACTTTTTACCATCTATGGATAAGTTCAGAACTGTGTTCAAAGGTCACACTTAGCATTCTCATTTTTGTCCTCCTCCAGATCCATGGAGAGGATTCAGTGCCCCATTTGTGAAGGGTATTGCAGCCTCAATATACTCAGGAGTTCCAAAATGAGAGTTGCTTGGTGTTTGCTCTCTCCTTGTGCATGCTTTCTTACATCTGGAAGGAGAAGACATCAACACTCTTTACTATGGTCCTCACAATTCCATGCCTCTTCAGTTGGTTCCGACTCACAACATGACCTTTTCCTTGTGACTCCCCTGATCCAGCGTGGCCTAAGAACATGACAGAAGGTTGAAAGTGAGCTCTCTGCAGCATTTCCTGCATACAACAACACCAAACTCCAAAATTAAAAGTAAAAATTGCACATAAATAAATGGCATTTCAGTCCAGTTAGCAGTCCATAGCAGCACCTTTTTCACCCTCTAACATGCTTAGTATTGCCTTGTTAATATATTGTAAATCACTAATGAAAGACACTGACCAATAAGGAAAATGAGTAGAGAAATTGCTATAACAATACAAGAGTTTATGCAATATTGCTTAGGTCAAAATGTTTTCCTAACTGACACAGCAAAAGGGTGATGCTTAGGCCAGTAAATGCTGTGCATGTGCTTTCATTGGCTCAGATGTAGGGCTATGAAAATAGCCAGCAGAGTGGTGTGGGGTGAGGGGGAGGCAAGGAGGAAAATGTGATTTGTCATAATGCTCGCGATCTTGTAATTTACTTTTTCTGTTTTCTTGAACCTTGTTGTCAGATTGACTCCCCATAGCTTTCCTTATGGGAGAGGCTCCTTTCTTACACATGGCATTTAAAACTGGGACCAAAAGGACAAAGGACAGTCAGTTAATGTAAGCCCTGGAATGATACAATGAATTGGAAATGAGGCTTGTGATGGCTTAAAAATATCTAGGCAGAATCTGCATTGCTTGCCTGTGCCACTGTAAAGTTGAACATTGCAGTACTAAACGTTTCTAGAAGGGGCTGCATTAAATGAAAACAAGCTCACTATATTCATCATGTTCTTTCTCTCTCCCTCTCTCTCTAAATTATATACGTATATAGTGAGGGGTCCACTCAAGTATAGTGAGGGGTCCACTCAAGTGTAGAGCCTTTCATGTCACCCAGTGAAATATGTTTCAGGGATTTCACTTTTACTCAAAAGTATACGTCAAAAACACAAAAAAGATTACCTTCAGGGAGGTTTTCAGCATCACAATGAAAAATAGAAATTTTCCAGTCTTCTGGCTATTCGGACTCTGTAGCCCCTGTGCCGATCTCTGCACAGATTCTCATTATTTCATTCAGCCTTGTTAAAAACAAGCTGCCCAATTTGGGCTGCACTGGCTCCTGCTTAATTGCATGCAGCCTGTTATAAACTTAAGCCTCCAGAAGGCTTTACCCCCTTCATGACCAAGCCGTGTTTTGCTATTTGCCACTGCTCTACTTTAACTGGCAATTGCATGGTCATCCAACACTGTATGTAAATTTGTATAATTTTTTTCACACAGAGCTTTCTTTTGGTTGTATATGATCACCACTTTGTTTTTATTTTTTATTATGTAAACAAAAAATATTTTTTCTATGTTTTAGATGGGTTTGGTGGTTTTCTACATATACGTGTAAATGTGGTCTAATTATTCTATAAAATCATATATATTTGTATTATTTTTTTATGTACTTGGGGCCAGCCATATTACATGTGCAGGCTGTATTCCCACTTTAACATACAGTATACCATGACTGTGAAGACTGTTTAAAGAAGAAACCTGGGATAGGCAAAAAAAATCACCCATTAATACACCCCTCCCACCTACACAAAACACTAAACAGTTACTAAACTTTTGAAAATCCATTTACAATTTAGGAGAAAAGTTGAAATAAATTTTCATGACCTCATCTCTGTGATTGAATAGATAACAGCATTTGCTCTCCTCCAAGGAGGAGGTGTAACAGCAGGGATTACAACATATCCTCTCCTCTCTCTCTGCAGTAAAAGGAAACTACAGTTCCCATCGACTGAAGGGACTGGTAGTGAATGTGGGAGGGTACAGTAGGCCTGTACATGTTGAATGTGTCTGAGAGTCTCAGTCCACCCACCACTGCAAGTGGGGCTGAATTACATCACTGCTTCCTGGAGAAAGAACTACAGAAGGGAAGTGCCAAGACCAGTGGCTGGAGGAATAGGAGGCATAGCAGCCACCAGTCTTACAAACAGGAAACCAAATAGAATTAATGGTTTGATTTGAAAATGAATAGTATATTTCAGAGCAACCACTGAGTGAACCAGAAGATGGATAACGTGTTCAGTGAAGGTAGGAAATCAGCAACAAGGACATGTAAAGAAGATTTTACTTGGAGTGCTGCTTTAAATGCAATGGCAGTTGTTCTTCATGGATGGAAGGTAACCATACCCCCAATATATGGAAAGCCTTCAGATGGAAAAATCAACAAATCAATAAAAGAAATACAACTACAAAATATTGGTGTAGCAAACATGTAAAAAAAAAAAATCCCAAGAAAATGTATTTTCCAGGATCAGTTATATTATGAAATAGTTACGCCAAATATGCAATAGTTTAGCTTCAAAGGTTACAAAGGTTTTCCTTCTTGTGAAATGTTTTACCTCTGCAGATATAAGCTCGTTTGAAGAACAAAAAGATGTCTGGAGGCTGAGTAGCCCCCATAACCACTTGGATACCTTTAAAAACATCCTTTTCTCTTGTAAGATCTTCCAGCTAATGCTTCTAACATCAAGATGATGTGTTTGCTAATACACTCTTGGCTGGATTAAGCCCCCTTCAGTCACATGTCTTTTGTTTACCTATTCTTTTGAAGCATGTGAAAATATATGAGAGTGTTAATGGCTGCCAGGACTACACACTTACATACTGTCCAAGAGACAAAGCGGCATGGCTTGGGAAACATTGTTTTTATTCTTTCAAATGCCACATTCTTCCCTATAGCATTTCTTGGGGACTGGAAGAGTAGCCTGCTTCAAACTAAAGATTATGCACTGCTGTATGAAACAGAAGAGTGTGAGAATGACCTGCATTCAAAGACTCCATGAACTAGCAGCCTCAGGTAAAGTTGTCTATTTGTGTGACAGGTTGACAGCTAATCTCCTATTAAACCTTCATTTCAGGATGTAAAGGATTTATTATCACCATCATGCTCTAGATGTGGCTTCCAGGGATCTGAAAATGATATCGGTAGCAAAGAAACTGTAACTTTTATATGACATTTATTTGTTTGGCTCATAAAATAAATTTTTATATATTACAAAGGCAGAAATCTGAATGATAAGCTATAAGAATGTAAATACCATGCTCATGGCTGGATTGACCATTAGGGACAGTAGACTTGTGCCTATAGGCAGGAGAACAAAGAGACAGAGGCTTTTGCCAATGTTTTCAATGACAACATGATTTTTTCTCCATCAGCAGATGACATACAATAATTTTATAAAAACTTATATACACAGTCATACTATTCTAAAATAGGAAAATGTGTAAAAGAGATGATCCTAGTAAAGGAGACTTGCTTTGGGAGCTTTGTGTAGGAAACTTTCAGATGAACATTGCTAAATACCACATCACTCATAATTTTGTAATGACATCAGTCATATAAGATCCAGGCAAGGGTTATTTTACTGTAAAACTTACTGAATACGTTTGAAGGGGAATTTGATGATATTACTACACCCTGGATTCAAGGAACTTCGCCAGACATCAAGAGCCACCAGATGAACCAACACCCTGACAACCTTATATGGAAGAACAAATGTGAAGTTCATGGGCTCTGATGTAATGTTACTGAATGACTGGATAGATATGAAGTAATTAGTTGCTATTAACCAATGTAGTTAAAACTTTATCTTACTCTTGATATGCATAAGACTAAAAGACCTATATGACCATAAAAGGAGTCCAGCAGACTTTTGGCTTGTAAGCTGACCCACCCAAATGTGTTCTAAACCAATGCATATCTTAACCTACACACAGTCCTTGCTGTAAGTAGACTGCACCCATATCCTAATGTGTCTTTATATGATGAGTGAGGGATGTGGAACTTACTGATTCCATGGATGGAATTCCAGCTCTGGGCACAGTGGGATTTATTAACCATTTGCCTACTGGGCACTTATACCTTCGTGCCCAGGCCAATTTTCAGCTTTCAGCGCTGTCACATTTTGAATGACAATTGTGCGGTCATGAAACATTGTACCCATATGACATTTTTATAATTATTTTTCACACACATATAGCTTTCTTTTGGTGGTATTTAATTGCCACTGGGTTTTTTATTTTTTGCATTATAAACAAAAAAAACATAGCAAAAAATTTGAAAAAAAAACAGGTTTTTTTTTGTTTCTATTATAAAATTTTGCAAACAGGTAATCTTTCTCCTTCACTGATGTGCGTTGATGAGGCTGCACTGCGGCAGCACTGATGGGCACTGATGAGGTGGCATGGATAGGCAGCACTGATGGGTACTGATAGGCTGCACTGGTAAGGTGGCACTGATGAGGCAGCACTGGTGGCATTGATAAAGAGGCACTGATGATACTGAACTGATATACAGCAATAATGGTCACTGATAGGCGGCACTGATGGGCACTGATAGATGGCACTGATGGGCGATATTGATGGGCGGCGCTGACTAACAGCCCTGACTGGTAGCACTGACTGATGGCACTGACTGGCGGCACTGCTGGACACTGATGGGTGGCACTGATGGGCAGCTGTGCTGGGCGCAACTGCTGGGCAGCACTGATGTGTGGCACTTCTGGGAGGCACTGATGGGTGGCACTGCTGGGCACTGATGGGTAGCATTGGTGGAAGGCACTGATGGGCACTGGTGGGTGGCACTGGTAGGTGGCACTGGTGGGTGGTACTGCAGGGCGTTGATCATCAGGGCACTGATCATCAGTGCCCTGATGATCTGTGCTGATCTGCTCTGTGACAGCTGCCTGTTAGCAGCAGTACTTTCCTCATGCTGTGACAACATAAGGAAAGTGCTGCCGATAATTGGCAACTGTATTTACTCTGTGATTGGCTGTGTCATTGGACATACAGTCAGGTCCATAAATATTGGGACATCTACACAATTCTAACATTTTTGGCTCTATACACCACCACAATGGATTTGAAATAAAACGAACAAGATGTGCTTTAACTGCAGACTGTCAGCTTTAATTTGAGGGTATTTACATCCAAATCAGGTGAACGGTGTAGGAATTACAACAGTTTGCATATGTGCCTCCCACTTATTAAGGGACCAAAAGTAATGGGACAGAATAATAATCATAAATCAAACTTTCACTTTTTAATACTTGGTTGCAAATCCTTTGCAGTCAATGACAGCCTGAAGTCTGGAATGCATAGACATCCCCAGACGCTGGGTTTCATCCCTGGTGATGCTCTGCCAGGCCTCTACTGCAATGTCTTCAGTTCCTGCTTGTTCTTGGGGCATTTTTTCCTTCAGTTTTGTCTTTAGCAAGTGAAATGCATGCTCAATCGGATTCAGGTCAGGTGATTGGCTTGGCCATTGCAGAACATTCCACTTCTTTCCCTTAAAGAACTCTTTGGTTGCTTTTGCAGTATGCTTTGGGTCATTGTCCATCTGCACTGTGAAGCGGCGTCCAATGATTTGTGAAGCATTTGGCTGAATATGAGCAGATAATATTCCCGAAACACTTCAGAATTCATCCTGCTGCTTCTGTCAGCAATCACATCATCAATAAATACAAGAGAAGCAGTTCCATTGGCAGCCATACATGCCCACGCCATGACACTACCACCACCATGCTTCACTGATGAGGTGGTATGCTTAGGATCATGAGCAGTTCCTTTCCTTCTCCATACTCTTCTCTTCCCATCACTCTGGTACAAGTTGATGTTGGTCTCATCTGTCCATAGGATGTTGTTCCAGAACTGTGAAGGCTTTTTTAGATGTCGTTTGGCAAACTCTAATCTGGCCTTCCTGTTTTTGAGGCTCACCAATGGTTTCCATCTTGTGGTGAACCCTCTGTATTCACTCTGGTGAAGTCTTCTCTTGATTGGTGACTTTGACACACATACACCTACCTCCTGGAGGGTGTTCTTGATCTGGCCAACTGTTGTGAAGGGTGTTTTCTTCACCAGGGAAAGAATTCTTCAGTCATCCACCACAGTTGTTTTCCGTGGTCTTCCGGGTCTTTTGGTGTTGCTGAGCTCACCGGTGCGTTCCTTCTTTTTAAGAATGTTCCAAACAGTTGTTTTGGCCACGCCTAATGTTTTTGCTATCTCTCTGATGGATTTGTTTTGTTTTTTCAGCCTAATGATGGCTTGCTTCACTGATGGTGACAGCTCTTTGGATCTTATCTCGAGAGTTGACAGCAACAGATTCCAAATGCAAATAGCACACTTGAAATGAACTCTGAACCTTTTATCTGCTCGTTGTAATTGGGATAATGAAGGAATAACACACACCTGGCCATGGGACAGCTGAGAAGCCAATTGTCCCATTACTTTTGGTCCCTTAAAAAGTGGGAGGCACATATGCAAACTGTTGTAATTCCTACATCGTTCACCTGATTTGGATGTAAATACCCTCAAATTAAAGCTGACAGTCTGTGGTTAAAGCACATCTTGTTTGTTTCATTTCAAATCCATTGTGGTGGTGTATAGAGCCAAAAATGTTAGAATTGTGTCGATGTCCCAATATTTATGGACCTGACTGTAGCTGATCACGTGGTAAAAGGCTGCTGTGATTGGCCTTTTACCTCATCACGTGTTCATAGGACACAGCGATCACGGAGATCGTCGAGTGCATGCCCCTAGGGGTGCTCGAGAGGGCCCCTTTCTGAGAGAACGTCATATGATACCCTCCCAAAACTTTAAAACCGCACTATAGCCATCACTGGGCTATAGCGCAGTTACCAAGTGGTTAACTAAAGCTGGAGAGTGCAAAATCAGGCTCATTTCTGCATAGAAACCAATCAGCTTCTAACCTCGGCTTGTTCAATTAAGCTTTGGCAATAAAACCTGGAAGCTGATTGGTTTTTATGCAAGAGTGAGCCTGATTTTGGACTCTCAAGCTTTAGTAAATAAACCACAGTGTTTTTACCACAGGAGGCAGAAATGTAGCAAAATGTTCCACAAAAGGCCTCATTATGTTAACAGTTAAAAAGCAAGTACACACAAAGAAACAAATTCAAAAAACAAGAAATAGCACTAAATACACCCTCCGAAGAAACATACACTCTAAAAAAAAAAAAAAAAGGAGTAGAAGTTTTTTTCTAGCAAATTTTTTAAGCAGCCTAATGAGCAAACTGAAAGGTTCTGCTTCAGCAAAATTGTACAGTGAAATCTGTAATTTTACTACAAAATGAATGTCAAAATCATACCACTCATCCCTCGTAATCAGCACAAGGGTTAAAGGTACACTTTCATACATCTGCCCTGATACTTTTAATATTATATAATTTTTTCTAAATCCAATTTTTTTCATGTTAGGAGGGTTAAAACCGCTGTGATTTTTGCCAGGGAGATTTCAGTTAATTTCCTTTTCTGTCGTTTCAACAGGAAGTTAGAGGCTATATTTCGAGGGAAATCCCCACTTAAACAGCAGTCATGGGAGCAGGTGTCGCCAATTGGAAGATTATCCCTCTATTTCCAACTCAAATTTACCCTTGCTTTTATTCTCAGTAGCATTGGTGATTAGGACAGTTAGAGAGACTGAATCTCCTTCACCACTCAATCCAAAAAAGAAAAACAAATTGCAAAAAAAGCATAGTACTATAACTGTATACAACAAGCATATAAATATATTAGAATAATGGTAGAAAAAAGACCAAGAGATCCATAAAGTCTATTTTTTAGCATTTAGTTTTTCTTTTTGTATTTTTCCATAATCAAATCATGTGAGGAAAAAAAATCTAATTTTAAAAATTTTTCCTGCACATGGCTAGGAAAAACAATAATAAATTTTGCGATAAGAACAGTCTCTGTTCCTTTAGTATATCAACCCCCATACTAAGCTAATTTGCTTTCTCCTATTTTCAATGTATGACTTGGGTAGGAATGTAAAAGTCCCTGAGGTCAGCAGTGCTGTGAATACTTTTGTGAATTTGATAACGTGCTGGAGAATGTATACTGTATAAATGAAATAAGAACAACAATATAACTAGTGTCAGTTATGAAGGTCAATGCAGACACACAAAATAAACATCAGCTTTTGAAGATGGAAAGGATTTAAAATGACATCTAAGCTTGACCCTAACAAATGTTCGTTGTCATCCATTCTTTATGTTTACATTTTGTGTGTTTTTCTGTAAGTATCCCCACAGAGCAGCATGATAGGAGGAGAATAATTATTCACACATACTAATCATGGGAAGGTAAAATGAGTATCTAGTAGGGAAGAATGGAGAATTTCACCTAAGTTGGTTTTGCAGCAAAACTACAGATTTCTCCTCTGCCAAAACTTCAACAAAATTGGCCTCAGATTTCACCAAGTTAACTGCTTAGGCACAATCTGCTTGTAGAAATTTTTTCTAAAAATGAAGGAAACAGAAAAACAACCCTAAAGCTAATTTAAAGGAAAACCCATGCACTAGCAGCAATGCTGATCTGGTGATAACATGGCCTTGTAATTCTTTGTAATTTTTGAAATTCTTTGTAGATACACTTGATCAAAGATATACATTGTTTTAAAAACAAAAAAGTTTTAAAAGGAAAAATATCATAAAATGTTAAAGGAATATGTGTAATCTTTGGTAGCCATTTAGAGCCCATTGTATCCTTTAAAAAAAAAACATCCAAAATTGACTCCAATGTGTTTTGCAAATTCAGCCAAAGTGGTGAATTTCAACAAAAAATGTCCTGATTTTTACAGAAATGTTGGCAATTAGAAACGTTTTGTTTCACTAGAGTCCAGGTGTAGAAAAAGAGAGAAATCTCTGCATATATGGCTAGCCTTAGTTTAGTTAAAGTGGTAAAAATTAATTTATCAAGCAAAATCCATGTACAGTATGTGCAAGGAAACTAAAAAAAAACAGGATTTTTACATGCTTGACTGAAGTTCATTTTCACTTTTTAAGGTAAGGGTTCATCTTTTACTCCTTTAGCAAATTAGCCCCAGTATATGATATTAGCTATACATTTTTACTCCACATAATCTTTGAATTCTGAAGTTGCTATAGCAAATGCAGAACATAGCACTATATACAGTAAGTACTTATAATAAATGCAGACAATTTACATATATATCATACATTTACATCAGTACCTGCCCTTAAGGAGCATACAATCTGAGGTCATTAATTCACACTCACAATAATTTGGACACTAGGGAAACCCACACATGCCCAAAGAGAACACGCAGGCTGGGTTGCGAACCAACAACCATAGTGCTACTAGGCAGAAGTACTAACCACTTATCCACTGAGCTATGCAGCTACACAGGGAATGAAAGAAATACTTGGACCCGGGAGTGGCACTAGTAATGACAGTATGTAATTATAATACGTTGAAAGTGGATAGTCGACTATTATTTACAATAGTGATATCCATTGTCATCATAATACTAGATATTTTTAGAGTCAATATCAGCATGATAAAAAATAGCTTGTGTAGAGGCATTTGGCAGGCCAGTAGGCAAGCTGTAACACGTTCATTAATGCCTACGCACGCTGAGAACCTATGGGCAACTGTGTACAAATGTATTTCTGTAAACACTGCATTCCACTAAATGACAAAAACACATGAATGCATAACACATAAAGGGCAGAGTTATTTGAAAAGTACATGACATGCTGTTCTGCTGCGAGTTGGTCATGTTGTATCCAGTTACACCAAAGGTACTAAAAACTAAGGGAGCA